TATATATATATACATATATAAATATATATATGTGTGTGTATATATATAAAAGGATCATATCATAAGGAAAGTAAACAAATTTTTTTAAACTAAGATTTTTTTGTTATGAAAAAACCATGTACATCAACTTCATCTATAGATTTTTGTCCCAATAAATGTCAACTGAATGCAACAAGAGTTGATGAAATTAAGACAAACAGACATTTGACTATAAACAAAACTTATAATACATAGGCAATCTAAAGTAGTGCATCGCTGTCTTTGGTAGCTGGAATAGAGTTCTATCACAATATTCAAATTTAGACAATAACAAAGAAATTAGGATTACATAGAAAAATAAATAAAACTCTACACATTAAGCTGATGTACTTTTTCCGAATTAACAAACAGTTATTATTCACTATTCCCAGTGTATGACCTATTTATAAATCGATAAAATTACCTAGGTTTTTTAGTGTTATCCTGTAATTCTGGTCCATCAGTATTTTCTTCCTTATAAGCTTCTAAACATATATTTTCAGAACTTTTTTCACAAGTTCGTTTACGAGAATTATCTCCTGCTATATTATTTTTATCGTTTGGATTGTTAAATCCATCAATTGTGGCTACTGTCTGAAAATTTCATAAAGCTAATCACAAAAGTATCATTTTAAATTATTCTTAGATCCAAATATAAACCTGTTTTACAGCTTGTAGTTTTGCTTCTTTATCTTTATCATTGAGTCTTGCTATTTCCAAAAATGCTGCCATCTTTGCTTTCTTCTTTTCTAATCGCTGTAATTGTTTTGTTGTACGTTCCTTCATAATTTATCACTTTATATGGATTATTAATGATTTGCTGTAGCAAATAATATATACATATAAATTTCATTGCCAAATCTGTCTGAAAGTACAATACCTATTAATAGGGTAATTATCCAGAAAACACAGTCCATCTTCAAATTCAATAAAATTATGCTCATTCTGTGTTTTCACATAAAACGAAAGAATCTGGAGTAATTATTCAGTTTCGATACACTAGTTCAAAAATATATATATTTGCAAAATCATTTTAACAAATTAACATTACCTGTTTAAAAGACTCAGCATTATTATGATTTATCAGTATATTAAAAACGATAGCACGAAGTAAAAATAATAAACAAAAGTACATATGAAAACGATACAAAACGTAAATTTTTAGGTTAGGAAACGCATTAATCGTAAAAATATCAACGTGTTCTTCTTAAATAGGTCTATTCGCGTTGCTTGAAATCTCCAATCTATCTTCACATTTGATTAATCGAAGTTACGAGATCAATCGAAAAAATCGATTAATCGAGACAAAAGAATCGATTCATACAAAAATCGATTGGGGAGTCTAATCCCATCAGGCCATCATTACCTGTCACTACCTCTAATTGTTTATTTTAGCAATACGTGAATTTAGAGCTTGAGCATTTAAGAAATATAGCAATAATGTCCGCGGGTCTCACGCACACGGAAAGAGAATTAGATTTGAGTAATGCTGGTCGTGGTGTGTGGCTTGTTAAAGTGCCTAAGTATATAGCTAATAAATGGGAAAAGGCACCTGGTAATATAGAAGTCGGCAAATTGAAGATCACCAAGTGAGTTTATGTCTATTTAGAAGAGTATTTCTTTCAAAATGATAATATATTTCGTCTTTAATATAATTTCTTTTACTTCTATTATAAAATTTATTTTATATTTGATTATGTTGCTATTAATGTGTACGATGAGAACAGTGATATAAATTGATGGTAGAATCTTAATAATATATAAGGTGCATTCGGTGAGATGCTATTAGCGCTATTTGTGTCATTCCATCCTTATTTAACATCAATTAATAAACGATGAAAATAGAATGACAAAAATAGTGCTAATAACGTTCCCCGAACATATCTATAGTTTATATTCCTTTTATTATTTACATCCTTTTTCGTAATATTTTGTAGTTATTTTGTTGTAATTTTTTACTTATGGGAACATTTATTTTAATCTATTATTGATTTAATTCTATGATTGATTTAATTTTTGTTTTTATCTGTTTTCTCTAGAAATCCTGGACAGAAAGCTGAAGTATCTCTTAAATTATCAGAGGCTGTCTTAGCTTTGAAAGAATCTGGAGAAGGAGAAATACCGAAACAACATAGGCTAGATGTTACAACAGTTACTAGACAAATGTTAGGAGTATTTTCTCATGTTGCTCGTAAGTTGTTTAATGTCATTTTAAAGTTTGACATTTTTGAGAATAGCTCTATTAATTTTGCAGCTTCTACAAGCTCAGATGCGATTGTGCCAGAAACAGAAAAACTTTTTATGGAAGGAAGGATTGTACAGAAATTAGAATGTAGACCATATGGTACGTCAAGTGTTCAAGCAGTTATCCAAATAAATTTGTATATATACACATATCCATCTTCTTAAAAACAAGTTATGCTAAAATAAAATAAATTTATAAAATAAAATTTTTTTAGCTGATAATTGTTATATGAAGTTAAAATTAGAAAGTATTAAGAGAGCGTCTGTCCCACAAAGACAAGTTCAACAGTTAGATAGAGTTGTGCAAAATTTCAAGCCTGTATCCGATCATAAACATAATGTAAGTATTATTTTTATTAATTTTTTGTCATTAAACTGATTTGACATGTAGTTACATGTTTTATAGATTGAATATGCTGAAAAGAAAAAAGCAGAAGGAAAGAAAATGAGAGATGACAAAGATGCTGTGCTAGATATGCTTTTTGCGGCATTCGAAAAACACCAATATTACAATATAAGGGATCTTGTAAAAATTACAAGACAACCTATTGTAAATATATTTTTATCTTTATGTGATACTTTAGAAAATATGTAGTTTATTTTAGAAATTACAATATTTTCCTAATACTAAAATTATGCAAAAATTTCAGGTTTATCTAAAGGAAATTCTCAATGAAGTTTGTAATTATAATTTAAAAAATCCCCACAGAAATATGTGGGAATTAAAACCAGAATATCGACATTATAAGGAAGAGGAAAAGTCTGCAGAAACCACAAAGAAAAGCAACGAATCGGAAGAGGATTGATTTATTTTTTGTATACATATATACATATATACAAAACACATATACATACACATAGATATTTTTTAATACTTATATATTTAATAATTATATTCCTTAAAATATAAACTATATAAAGTTTCCAATGATAAACTTAATAATTGTGATTCTCATGATGTTTTTCGCATATCTACTTTTGAGAAGATTATGTATACTAGTAATTGAAAATTTCGACATGATTATCAGTATGTTATTGAAATTTTGTAAAAAAAATTCCAGCAATATAAACACTATTATAAATTAGTAGAAGAGATTTTTACAATGAGACTATCATTTTCTACAAGTGAAATCTATCAAAATAGCATATAAAAAAGAGACTAACTAAATATAATATCAGTGAGCTACTCTCTTCTGTTGATTATCTTATATTTTCATTGATTTTTTTTCAAACTTGCGAAATATGAAAATGTACGGATGTATATGTATACTTATTGATCGATAATTGATTTTACATAAGAAAAAATGATTAAAGAAGCAATGTTTTTAGAAAAAAAATGAATTAAAAATTTCAAAATTTCATTAAGTACTGATAAAATTCTATGAAAATTCCTGATTTTCAAGAATAAAAAAGAAATTCAAAAAAAATCTCTAAAAATTCCAGGTTCTTCCAGGTAATAATCGTGATTATACATATCGAAATTTATAATTTTGAATTAACTATTTTAAAAGATTAACCGTATTTTACACTACACAAGTATTAGTAACATTTGTTGAATATTCTGTATACTTAAATATTTGAAAATGCTTGGAACATCAGCATAGGATGGCAACCACATAACACTTTTATCTCCACTTCATCATTGGCAGAAATAAACAAAACGGAGCCGCGAGAAAAAATCTTAGACGATATTTTTGCTTTACCATTTACTATTAAAAGGATGCTAGCCGAATTTCTCGGTTTTAAATTATAAGACGGTTGTCCAGGCGGTAACTGCGAAATATTTAAGATAAATGTATATCTAATGCAATCAAATGCAATAAAATCATTTACTTTAATATTAAAACTCACAATGATTTTGGCGAAATATTTAAGATAAATGTATATCTAATGCAATCAAATGCAATAAAATCATTTACTTTAATATTAAAACTCACAGTGATTTTGGCAACTGCAAATTCTGAAACTGGTGGACGAAAAACTTGGGTAAACGTATCTTCTCGAGATGGTTGAATCTTTTCGATAGATTTGCATTCAAATGATAGTACTTGGATTAAAGTTTCTATATCTTTTGGTTTTGGTGTGAGTCCAGCTCTTATCACATTATCTGAACATGCCATACATTCTATGCAATCTGAAAATTACATGAAAGGCTAAATTTATTACATTTGAATGCATATTAGAATGCAAATTCTAAATCCATAATTTACCGCCAGAGAGATATGCATGAGGTACGTTTGGTCCAATGTATATTGCTTCACCTGGTAGCATCGTTACGTAATTGAACAGATATATTGTAAAACAGCCTATATCTCCAGGGTAATCATTGTGCAAACGCTCTAATAGGTCGGCTTTTACCCGTTGCCTATAACAATCGTCTGAGAGCAACTACATATGATTATGGTTTTTAACAAAGAATTCTTCCAAAGAGGAAGAATGCGAAGATAGTATTCAATAAATTATGGTTTATTAAGAAAGTATTTATTTAAAAGAAGATGTTGCAAAATTTATTACACTTTTTTCACATAATAGTATTTATGTAGTTGTACCATGATTTATTGAATTTATATGTCTCGCTCTATATACAGAAATTGTTACCTGTATTATGTAATCTATCTATCAAGTTTCTTAATTGCCGTGCTACTTCATTAGAATCACAAGTCATAAGACTGTGGAAACTGTGTTGCAAAGCATCACTGATCATAGAATCATTTGTTTGAGTTAAACGATGGACATTGGTTTCTCCTATGACAGCAAGTAACTCTGGTATGTCATTTACATAATCTTTTATTTCATCGATTGGACGAAATCCGCACAGTGCTTCAAAAGGAGACAAAGCTATAGCTAGTTCTGGTTTATGATTTGGATCTTTATAGACATCCGGATATAATTCATGCAGCTCTTTTGCCTTTTGCTGAAAATCCACAAATCAACTAATATGCCACTTTTACATAACAGAAAAAATATTACCTTATTCGGATGTACTTGAATGGATAAAGCTTTATTTATAGATAAGACTTTAAAGAGAAAAGGCAAATTGGAGCAAAATGTTTGTACAACATTGCTGCCTAATGCTACAGTATTTTCCTGAATGTATTTCTGCAAGGGAATATCTGTATCCTTGAGATATGATGGCCCATTCTCGTGAGTACCCATCCATAATTCTGCATAAGTTTTCTGTTCATCCACCACAAAATCAGCATTGGCTGATTTTATTAAAGATGCAACAATACTGTTCATACCAAGTTTTCCCCAAGCATATGTTTGAACTGCACACTTGAGTTCCATCTTAAAGAAAT